AGAGTTGTTCCATGTTTTCAAGAAGTGGAAAATGTGTTTATTTGAATAATTTCAAAAAGTTGACATATTAAGTAGGGAAAATTTAATAAGGGTATATTGATAAATGAACACAATAAAATATTCTATATTAGGAAACATGCCTATATATTTGAAACAAGAGAAAAATGAAACTCAGTCTATATAATTGGGATGGGGGAATATTATTTTTCTCTACAAAAAATTAAAATACTTTGAATACATTTAATTATAGAAAAATGGTTTGGCTCTTCAAATTTGAAGAGGAAAACTCACCCTCTATTTTAAAATATTTATTTAAAGAATTCTTGAAACATAATTTTAAGGGTTGTCTCTTTAAAATATAGAGCATCTTATATTTAAAGAATATATTGAAGATGCTTTTAAAACTCGATATTAGCCGAATTGTAGCATCCCTTAATTGAAATTCTTCTACATTTACTGAATTTAAATTAATATCTTGTTTGGAACTATAGAGTAAAAACTTTTATTTTTCCAAAAAGAAAAAAAAATTGGTAGTTTTGAGTAAGTCCAAAATTCAACCTGAGATGACTAAAACACCCTTTAGTACATTCATGAATAAAGCCATATAAATGATAAAAGCAAAACGCAAGCCGTTTGAATGGCAAAAAGGAAACGTAACTGACGTGTGGGATCCACACTCTCACGTTCAAATTACAACCCTCCATCCTCTGAAGTGCGTGAAACGTTGGCCGTCCATTCAATTTTTTCCTTTATAAATACAAATTCAATTTCTTCTCCAAACTATAAACGGCTCAGCTCTCATGCGGCTGGCTCAGCTAACACAAGCCATATAGGAAAATTAAGTGATTTCCCATAAATTAATTAGGCACTTTTACTCAAATTATAAATATTCCATCCTTGTTAACACATATATGAAATTTGATATAATTTCCAGTGATGGAAGTTCCTTTTTAAATTGTGTTGATTATACATGTATAAGAGTTAAAAATAAGACTCGCTTTTTTTTTTTTTTTGGTAACGGGATTAGACATATATATACACACTTAAAAGCATGACGACTACGTAATGTAGTCGACGACTCAATACACTTAAAAGAATCACGTGCTTGACGTTGACGACAAAAGATGTTCAAAAGAAAAATTAGTATTTTTCTTATACTTTAAAAATTATCGATATGCTAAAATGTACTTTTATCGTCATCGAAAGTCTTAATCGACGCTTAAATATTATTTTTATTCAACTATTACTAGAATGAATATTTATAATATGAATGGAGCAGTTGAGTGTTGTAGTACTCAATTTGGGTGGAG